CGATTATGTATGTCAAATTAGCTTTTGGAAGCTCAGTAGTAACACCGTGATCTAAGCATAAATCAAATGTGCCAATTTTTAATGATTTCTTCCTAGATAGCATGGCAGCCCTTAAATCATCGTCGAGAGTTGGATCATTTGCTTTCAGCCTAGCCCAAGCTTGATTAGAATCTTGATAAGTTACTTTATCGCCATTACTAGAATCGCGATCGTTACCGTTATGATTACCGGCATCTAACAAATATCATGAACATAATTGCTGTATTAGTTTTACCATTTTTCTCATTAAAGTATCTTATCCGCGTTACAAATTTATCAAATATCTCGGCAATTATTTTAAATTATACCACTATAGAAACTATTTAAACGTGATATATTAATTACATCGTTTCCATCAGCGAAATAGATCATTCAGATTTCAAGTTATTAAACAACTTTTAATATTTAAATCGTTACTGGTACGACTCAAAGTATTTACGAATATCGTCATCTACAAGTAATATTATTATTTCTATTGCCATCGGCATCAAGGCGTCAAGTGCAAATTATCAAACATCTCTCTATTTCAATTAGTATTACTAGAAAAGCTCTCGTATATTAGATTAGTGTTACTAATTTTCTTATCACCATAAATCATAAATTTCGCAAATTATTAAATATCTATATGACAGTTTCAAGCTATGCAGTAAGAATTTTTTAGATAGATCACCCCAGCTTGTTTTTATCGTCATTAAAGATGATCAAACTCATAAGCAATTACAATATTTCGAAATGTAGTATTAACAGCAAGGCAGCCAAAACTGTTACATAACTTGCCTTGATGAACATTCTCATCATGATGAGGTAAATGATCGTTATTTTCTTTGTCTTCTTCGCCATTGACTGGTAATTTACGATGAGATCCGCTATTCTTCATATTGTTGGTCGCAACTGCAGTAGTAGCAGCCTGTACCATTTTATTGCGATTACGACCAAAAACTATTCCCATCTTTATGTTCAATCGACTTACAACTAGAATGATGAGCTGTAATTACTGTATAAATTAGTATATCAAAAAGTACTCTAAATCAAGGGATTTTGAAATCGAAAAGAGTTAATCCAAGTGAAAAGCAGGAAGTTAAATCTGAGGGTGTTCTTTTCAATATTTAAAAATATCAGCGGGACAATAACCTAGTTATTGAAAAATAAAAAAAAATTGATATCAACATCTTGTCAATGAAGCATTTTTCCCCTATTCTTTCATGGCAAATAAAATATAAAATATTTTCATTCCATTCACAATATCATTGTGTGTTTGCGCAGTAACTACATTTTTGGGTGTCTACTTGTAACTAATACCGTAGTAATTTATGCTCTTATACAGAGTTAGAAGTCAATTCATTATATTATATCAGGATAAAACCATTAGTAAATAGACTAGGTCGAATATTCGCCTAGCCTATATTGCTCTACATGCCTGTATTACTTTTGAGAAGAATAGACGGCAAATGTCAGACGCAGTTAATACCATTTAAAATGCTATCGATCAAAGTCATGAAAATTATTCACACATCGCACCGACTATAACTAGAAATACAGTATACTATTGACGATTATAAAAGAAAAATTATAACTTGATTAAAGTACAAACTAATTATTTAGTTTTCAGATATCAAGTTTACACGTAATACTAGACAAATCGATTGTTTCAAATAGAATTGTAAATGCCTGATTATCGTCATAGCACTGTATTGTATTTACAAAGTCTAATATCTGTTGAACGATGAAAATTCGTTTTACATTTTAAGTAATTACAGTAATATTGCAGCGTAATGTATCCGAAATGCGCGTCAACATATATATGATGTCATGGTAATGATAGCTGATTAAATAACTTATTAAATCTGTATTGATACTCAGTTCAGTAATAAATAGCAGAGGAGTTTATAAGATGGATAAATTAATAATTTATGTGCTCCATGTTGAATTTTCAGTAAATGTTTCAAATAGGCATGAAAAAATTATAGGAATATAGCAATTAATCTATACAAATTTTTCATTATAATTGAAATTTACACACAGGAGGATTATATAAATAAATATACTAATGTTATTAGAATAAAAATATTATTTGAGTAAAATTTCTTTAAGACGGTAAAATAAACGTTGGAAAAATTGGGGGAATATTATAGGTTAAATAAAATCCTATATTATACTGCTACAAGTTTATAATAATGAGTAAGAGAGCCTTTGAACTATAGTAATTAGCTAGCATGAATTTTCCTCTAAAGTTGAGAACAGAAGGAGGATTATACAAGAAAACAATAAGGCAAATCAAATCCTATTTAAGGTATGTAACAAATATGTAGCAGACGTGAGAAAATTATTAAAGTCGAAATACCGTCATTAATTCAAGCAGATTTCCAGTAACACAATTAATTGACGTAGAAAGATTTAGGGATACAGTAAGCTCAACCTAATCATATTCATAATATACCAGTCGGCAATAATGATACCATATTAATGACATCCGATTTAATGGTCTATTTTAACTCTTGTAGAATTTGTGTTCAAGTAATAAATAGATAAGAAAGTACTACTCCAATACTGCAAAATGAAATCAAAAATTACTTAATTTATAAAAATTATAAATTGTGATTGAATCTAATTTCAAAAGTGTATAATCATGATCGTTCAAATACGGCTACAGTATGTTATTTCTCACTCAGAATACGTTTCTTAAAATATAATAAAATGCGTATATTATATACAAGCTATTTACATATATTTATTATAATTAAATGACACTAATACTTACCGTAGGTAAAATGTCCTGTCTTCAATAACTAATAATTAAGAAGAAAATTATGCTATACTATTTCTGGTATAAATAGACTAATCCTATAATACTAACGTTTTTCCATTACTGTGTATCTATGGATTTTGTAGGATATTGTATCAATGTAATGTCAGCATTTTATGATCTATTGCGCTATACAATAATAATATTACTTGCAAGTACTTTATCTAAATTATACATAACAGTCGAAGAGGAGAATGTAGTATGTAAGGCTATAAACTGAGACATAATTATTGTTAGCACAACTTGAAACTTTTACACACCTATAAACGATGCTGTTACGAAGGACAGCTCTCCTAATAAAACACAGGATTAGAGAAATTCTGAGTTGTTTTCTCGCTACCCTAACAGTAATTCTGCATTTAGCGATTATTAATCTACTCAATTCTGAATGGTTAATCTATTTCAAAGCCATGGTCTACTGCATGATTGATTTTTATTAGCAGTACATAATATCTGCAATTATATTACTAAATAACTTACGTCACTTATGTATTTATCCAAAATTTACTATCAAGACATTAAGACTGGGTGCGCCTTCAAAGCTATAATAAACTAATTATTTTTCTTTTCTTACAGCTAAAATTAGTCGTATTTAGAAGACTGCAAGTTTCGTCATTCTCATGATATGTCTCTGCAATTTCTTTAAATGATAAAATGGGAAGAATAAAATAAAATAATTCCCTTAATAACGACTGAAATAGTCAGCAAAATATCGTAATAATAACATATTGGCAAGGTCTAAAAAATTTTATATTATTTAAATTCTTCGATAATTGTACCGTAACTAACTTTGTTCCTTTAAGTATCTTGCGAAAATTAGCTATGTTATTTTATTCACAAAACTATACACATAAAGCCAAGCAGGTGTTATTTTTAATATTAAGGGTCATTAAATGAATAATTAAACTATTCTACTAGCAAATGCTCTAAAGTGAATAGAATATGAGACTATACACGAATTATAATGACAACTGACATCATAGTCTTTATTCCAATAAAATAGACATCCTTACTACCTAAATTTAATCGTCAATGATGTTATTTTGATATGATATTTCTATTTTATTATGCCAATCAGTGTCATCTGTGATATTTATTTTTAGTTTTGTTTTCAACTTTCACCTAGCTACGATATTGATGAATGACTCGAATTTTTGAGCGATAAACTCTAATTTCAGATAGAATATCATTTTATAATTGCCTCAAAAGAGAATTGTTTATAAAAATCGTATTAAAGTAAAAATATTGTCAACTCCTAAAATGACAGCTATAAATCCTAAAATGCTCATAATATTAAGTTTAATAGCGATTGTGAAAGTTTATTTTATTCATTGGTCTGATTTCCTTCTTAATTAACATATAAAAAGAATTAAAATAACCGTTTCTGTAGGTATTCTAGATTTAGGAGAAAATTTCTAATCCTTCGAAAATGAAAGCTGAATGCTAAGAAATCAGCTTAATAAATTTGATTTTAATTATGAAACTTCAATCTAATATGTCCATTACAGTTCTGTAATTGTAAAGTAGTAAAGTGAGATCGTTAAATCGATTTTACTCGTATTTTAGATTATTAAACAGAAATAATTCTGTCCCGATAGGCAAAGCTAAAAGTAAATAGCTATTTAATTAAATTCAAATTGGTTACAGGGCTTCATTCAATATGCTGCCTTGTTTTTCTTTCCAATTCCATAATACAAAAGAGTAACATAAGATTGACGCTATCGTGCATAACTGTGCTATTCACTGTGTCTGAATGATTTGGCTACCAAGATATACGATAAAAATCTTTCATTCCAAACGAAAAGTATTTTTAAAATAGTACAGCAATAGTCTAATTATGTAGAAAATTTCCGTAGTGAATGCTGTTGACAGATAAAAATAATATCAAATTATTTCACATACAATTTCTAACTAGTTCAATTAATACTATAGGGTAATTCAGTCTATTACTTGGTAATAACTCTACGCATGAAATTTTCTTTGATAATGAATTAATAATTATTGTAATTTAGTTCCTCTTAACATTTACTGTTTTCGGATATCATAAAGAACGAATTAATATTCAGTGGCTGCTGCAAATAGTTATCCAACAACAATCTTAACTGAAGCAAATTACAGTTTTACATAACAATCCAATATCAATGTTTAATGTAATAGTCCGACCTTAACCTTACCCAATACTAAATTAAGCGTTATTATCTTCATACTAATGAAATTTTTAAAGATTTCTCTTAAGCATTGCAAGCGGATATGTTATCTGGCTTAATTAATCTTACCGGAAAATAAAGATATTTCATTATCCCTATCCTAATTATTTTGGACAATATAATTATGGATGTAAATGGTTTGGACTTTATTCTTTGATTTTAAAATCTTTAGACTTATATTATTGTTATAGGAATAGGCTATTACGCTTTCGTGAATTATTTTAGGTTAATATGGAATATAAAATGAGCAGTTTGAACTTGAAAAATTTTCTTGGTACATGATAGAGCTGCGTAGAACCACAGTCTTATTACGTCTATGCAAAACTACAGAGTAGTTTATAAACTAAAGGGTATGCTTAGGAAGATCAAGAAATATTATCGCCATCGAGTTCTTGCAACTATATGAAACCAATCACAGCTTCTATGATCGGATATTGAATTTTTACGAATTAATAATGTTATCATCTTACTTTTTAGCTATATAAATAATGGTCACCTTACAGAATTAGACTGACAAATTTTAAAGAATTTATACCACGATTGTTAGTTACACCACCAACATGATACAAAACAGATAGCTAGCTTAAAAATTTAGAACTTAATGAAGGGTAATACGTGTGCATTGTACAGTATACTGTTCCGACTATGAAATATAGTGACGAGCTTACAAAATCGGACGGTGAAATTTTCTGGAGTAAACAGTATTATCGTTGATGTATTAGACTAGGCAAATCTAATAAGTATCGTATAAAATCAGAGCGCGAACTTCAAGTGCTCGGAGAACAATAAGCCGCAATATTATATCCATACAGAATTAATAGTTAGTTCATAAATTAGAAAGACAGTGAATTTTAAGGATCGACAGTGCTAGTCTTGCACATTATGGTCATATACTCCCAGAAATCAATAAATGAGAGTTAGATAGAGATGTTTAAGACT